TTAGATGATAATCGATAGGCTACGCACCTCACCTGACGATCCGCATCTGAGGTACGTCAGCTGTGATCTGAGGCAAGCGTTAGTCTGAGGCACAACATATATATCTACTTATTTATCTCTTATAATAGCAAAAATCCGTGTAACGATTTATCGAAAAGGCAAAATGGTCAATATGTATTTCATTGTACGTACGTACGTACGTATTTCATTGTATGTATTATCGTTATTTTTTCGCTCAAATTTGATTAATGATTGTTCAAAATTGCTTTGTTAGAAAAGCATTTAATTTATGGGTAATTTATTTTTTAATTGAAACATTTAGCTAACAGTTAATACGTACGGATTGTTTTGTCTAACCAGTAACTTAACAGATTTTGCATAAAGATTTTCAATTGTTACATTATTTTATTTTTAGGGAGAATAAAAATAGGCAGTCGATTGTGACTACAAGTATCTGCATGATGAGAATATATGTTCACTAAGGAAAATTAAAAAGATTTATGAGCAGATGAATAATAATTTTGGATGCACGTCCCAAGGAGATTGCATGTCTACCATAATCAAGCCTATTAATTACTACTTTAGGAGACCAAGCATCCACTTACTAGACCCTTTATGTCACAAATTTTCTATAAATAATATCAGTTTAGACCAAGATAAAATTTGAAAGAATCGGAGCCAAGCATTAAGAATAATTAGCAGCTAAGGTTAAAATAAAATAAAACACTTTTCTATATACTGTATTACAAGTTACGCCACGTAAGTAAATTGTTAAATGTCACATCTCTTCGAACCATTTAAATGACACTCACGATAACGTTTACGAGTAAATCCTAAGAAGGGTTAAAATTACCGTTTCAAAGTTTACTTTCTGAAACGGTAGTTTGGATAAATTTACAAAAGTTAAGAAATTTGGTAAAATTTGGTAACACTGGAGAAAACCTTTTATTCCTACGTAGCTGCTTATTATATACGAGGCCGTATGACAATGTTGATGTATTATTGTGATAATAAAGATAGTGATTTGATGTCGTAAATAAACTATGTATAAATTATTTTTCAATTGTGTAATGTGAATTCGATTCTGCAATCTTACAATCATTAACTAAATACTAAATCAAGCTGGGAATAGGCTTGTGCTGTATAAAAAAAAAAGACAAAGTTTCTATAAATATCGGTGGGCAAAGAAGGGGTATTTGATCAACTTCGAATTATTCGCACTTTTTTTTTTTTTCTCTTTCTCTAATTCTTTAAAACATTATATAAAACATCGGGTTTTGCTCGAATTTTAAATGCACAAGCTTAATACAACAAATCTCTATTAAACATTATATATATATCTATTTATTTTTTTGTTTTTACCAACCTACTTTCGTTTCACGAAAAGACATTGACGCTTGTCGTTGATATCCTGCAGCTATTCTTGTAGCCACTTAGTTAGGTATAAAAAACTTTGATATTTTGTAACACATTTACACTTCTCTGAACAACTATTCATAACTAACTATTCATAACTTTCTTTTCAGTTTGTAACAAATACGTATTTACTACTATTTCCGCAACACAAAACTTTCAAATATGCGCACAGGTGGCCTTTTTCGAAGGAATACTGTCGTCACCCCTAAACGCGATGAAGAATTTGGAGATTACGCGACTGTTATTAGCTCGGAGGTACTTACATTGTAGATGAATTTATCTTTAATGTCAAATTAGTTTATATTATATTTTTGTCACTGATCTATTTCTTTTTCTTATCAAAAAGGATGACCCAAAAAGACTTAAGGAATACATCACTAGACTTTACAAGTCTCTAAAGGAAAAGGTACGTGACGTAGATAATTTTATGCTGTATTCTCCTTTGTAATATAATATTATTTGTAAACATAGCTGTTTTTTGATAAATTCAATAGAGTAAAGGTCTTAAGTCAGCTTATACAAAACTCGATTTGTTGAATAATGAAATCAGTCAAGAGAAGGTGAGGTTGGTAGATATTGAAGATGAAAACAAGTCACTTCGAGGTACGCGTTTTTTTTTTTTATTGAATATGTTAATAGTGTTATCATAAGTGTTTGCTAATTTTTCATAAATATTAATTTATTCAGACCAAATGCAAGGAATGGCCGATCAATTGGCGTCCAAGGATGAATTATTTAGTCAATGGCAGGCAAAGGTAGGCAAAGGCGTGAAAATTTTTATGAACGGTTATCGAATTACGGAAATCAATTTATCAAAAAAAATTTTTATTTTTAGTTGGTTGAACAGACACAAAGAGAACGCGATGTGCTAATTGAAGAAATGGATGAAGAGCGCGCGCAATTCAAAGAACGAATCAATCAACTTGAAGATGCTTTAAATATCGCCAATGTAGAAATTACACGATTAACTATCGAGATGACTGATCTAACTAATTCACAAAAAAAGAGGCGAATGTCAACAACTAGTAGTAAAACAACTAGTAGTACGACGGATGAGAATAGGTCTTCCTTGGATATATTATTTAATGGCAAGGTTTGTTTCCGATTCATAAATTTACATAATCTTTATAATGTATGTACTAAACTATAATCTTAAATTTACTAGAAAAATAAAGATGATGATCGATATGAACTTACGAAACAAATCTTAGAGATCACACAACGAAGGATAAGTCTACAAACGGAGCTTACATTATTAGAGGACCAGTATGATGATTTAAAGGTAAATAGGGTACTAAATATCAAAGATCACATACGAAGTTCTTATGTGGGTACTTTTTTCATTTATATTGATGTAATTTTTTTTTGCCGATTTAAAATTAAAAAGATTCAATCAAATCAACTCTCGAAGGAGAACCAACTACTTCGGCAAGAAAATGACTCCCTTAAGCAACAAATCGAAAAAAAAATGTTTATGAGGTCTCTAGAAGATGTCAATTTGAATGAATAAAAGTTACATGTGGAACTTCTCTTTTGCTTGTCAATAAAAATTTTTTTTTGACATGCATAATATGCGGGTCATTGATTGAAAAGTTTCACAAAATATTCCTCTAAATACTTGAAATGCCACAAACTATAGACTATGGTTTAAATTATTTTTAGTTTAAATTTATAACGAAATCTCAACCTTTCTCTTCAATCTCTTGTGTGATATAGGCTAAAAAAATAATCTATAAATTCATTTCATTATCTGTGGCTATTCGTTTTCTATTAACGTAGGAATGAGCGAATGAAAATAATCAGATATTAATTTATCTGAAGAATTTCACATGGCTCATCTCTTTTTGTACTCTGTAAATAGTTAAGGTTGTAGTAATTTTGGTTAATTGATTGTAGTTTCATATATCTATATATTGGATATCGATATATTTGGTGATCGTTTTGTGTATTTTTTTTTTTTTTTTTTTTTTTTTTTTGTATGATTTGTTAATTTTTACTGAAGTTCTAAGTAAATTTAATTCATTTATGATAAAACAAATATTACATTATATATTTAAAAATTCGGTTTGTTAAATAAACACTAGGTTTTATGCATCAAATAAATCAATACGTACGAGTAAGAATGCTATTTGTTAATTGAGTTTAGATATATTTTTTTCAATAATACGTATAAACTATAAATTTACACCAAAGGATCTGTTTGCATTAATGATATGCACCAAACATTTTAATCAACACGAAAGTAATTGAAGATTACCGAAAACGGGTACGTTAAATTAATGTATGTACATACATACCTTTGATTGGAATTTAGGACGTGTAAAGGTTCCTCCATTTTAGTTCTCTTGTAGTAACGCAGAATACAAAATGTTAAATGCTCTATCGCTATGTACTAACTTTAAGGATATTAGCGCAGTAACATGATGATCCGGAGACAATGTTTAAAGATATTCCGAAATATATCACATTAACACATTAAATTCATTAATGGCTAAACCTTATTTTTTTGAAATCTCGATGAACCTTGATTGTGTTAGCACACAACAAATCTCATTTATCAAAATGGATAAATGATTCCACAAAAATATTCTAGTATCGATCAACTAGGACTCAGTAGGTTTGCACCTTGTATAACGGCATAACATATAAAGGAATTGTATGAAGCGCGGCGTAGGTGTCATTTCCTTCATTTTAAACATATCTGGATTATCAAGTATCGTACGGGAAGTGGCGTTAAAAACAATTGAAAATGGTCGTCATTTGTGTTTGATAAACAAAATTGAAAATAGTCGTCATTTAGTGTTTGATGAATATGTGACATATCAATGTAGCATAATGATGAGCTCCATACGTATGATTGACTTGTTTAACGTAAATCTATTTGGTTTTACGTATGGTATTGTACGCAGTTGATTTGGCATTAATCGATTTTTAAAGTGGCTTAGTCAATTTGATTTTTATGTATCTTTCTCTTAAAGTTTGTTAAATTATAAATCTATATATTATATGTATATTATAATATAATATTAGTGTTGGCAATTTTATCGGCCAATTCGGCCAATTTTTTTTTTTGGTCAACTAATGGCCGAAAAGGCCAAAAAATTTGGTTTGGCCGATAAAATTGATAACACTGGTCATATAATGGATTTTTTAAAATTTTTATTAATAGACCCTAAGTTTTATTGTTCATGGTTGTATTTTTACATATTACATACTTTACTGGCTCGGATACATACGTACAAACAAACAATCAGAAATATATTAGAAATTCGTAAATCGTATCTTGATTGATTGGTCACTTAGATATATTTTGGAATTGTATTTTGAAATACGTACGTACGTACGAGTACGTAATAGCCAAGTGATAATCAGAATACAATCAATCTATATATTTCTAATACGTATGTTCTTGATTGTATCTGGTCTTTTTCAATTAGTATAACAAAATATATATCTTTTAATTATAGTTATTTGTTTCAGTATTATAAATATCCTAATTTGCTTTAGTAAATATTTATATTTGTATATATAATAAAAATATTACAAGTGAAACCGGGTTTGACTTGGCCCTAATTAATAATACATTATTAATTAGGGTATCAGGTCTATATTCAAATTTATATTTGTAAGGACCCCGGGTCGATAGTGCAGTGGTTAGCACTCCGGGTCTCAATCGCAAGGTCGCGGGTTCAAGTTCAAAGGGCGAC